CATTGGCAGGATTTGATCCATGTTAAGTTCTAAGTGGTCGGTTAATTATTGCGCGGGATCTTTTGTACAGGAGCTGGAGCCTACCAGAGTCATAGGTACGAATCTCAGTCCGCATTACCTGCACAACCTTTGTGCCTGCTGCCAGTATGCCAACAAACAGCGTCGAGCCTTCTTCTCGTTCGAAATCACCCTTGTCGGTTTCAGTAAGTTCGTTGCCATTGACCTCGTACACGACAGTGCTCTCGGTTCCATCTTCGCCAGTCTTGGATACCACAAGATACTGGTCATAGTCTACATTGGTGGCCATGTTGGCCTCCATATCTTCACCAAAAGCAGCAGTGACATCTCCGGGCGCCTGTTTCCGGGCATGCACAGCCCAAGTGCCGCGTGCTGAAGGTAGCTGTCTTGTAGCTGCAGTGACGGGATGAAGCTCACGATTCAGGGCTGTTATCGCAGCAGCAGCCCCTCGCCCGGTCGAAAGCATTATCTCGCCCCTGTTCAATGACTCGGTGTCCTTTCCTGGGTGTAGGACGGCATTCTTGATGGGGGCTATACTTGGTAGTACGTCATGTATGCGGAATGTGTAGGTGCCCGGCGCAGTAGGCTCCGAAGCAGCAGCAGTGATTTTTTGGACTGCAGGGGCTGTATCGTTGTAAAGATCATCTTCCATGTCGTCCATATCCTCTTCATCAGACATGTCCTCGTCCGTGTCGATATTTGCGTTGGACTGCTTTCGTCGCAGATGGCTTGCCGTGCTAGTCCAGCCCAGCATGACCGAGTCTCCGTCCTCGCTCCCAACAAAGAGGCGCCCTCGTCCGAGGTTGCTGGTGCAGGAGGCGGCGGCTTTGATGAGGTGACCGCCATGGTCTGCTGCAACGGGGTGTACTGTCATGCCTGACACGGTGCGGCCGTCGAGTGTGAATGTCAGAACGAGGAGGCGCCCATTGTTGAGCACAATTAGCACATCACCCGCCTCGTGAGACAAAAGTTCAACACTGCAGCCCTCGAGGCGCAAAGCCATATCTGACTGGTCGCTGAGAGGGAAGGAAGTGCAGGTTTTGGCGAATTCATTCACAGCTACACCGCTTGTCTTGCCGCCCTGGTCGACATGTATAATCTCATTTGATCCCACTAGGAGAGCACCGCCAATGGGTGAAGGCAACGGAACCACTCTGGTGATGTCGTACGGCAGTCCGGAGACGGACAGGAGCGTAGTCGAGGCTTTTTGCTCGAGATCAAGCGTAAAGACAGAGTATGTGAGAATGTCTTTTCGGTGCGCGAGCAAGGACGGAGCCGTATCTCGAGAGGCGGCGACAATGCCAAACGTAGGTTCGCGGTACTCGTGCAGAAAGGCGAGGTGGACAGGGTGTGTAAGGGTGGGGTCGAGGTTTGTGAGCGGTAGGACAAAGGACGAGGTATAAGGCGTTGTGTGAGAGCCAGATGCAGCTTGTTGCTCAAGCTTGGACTCTTTGGGCCCATCAGCATCCGAGTCGTAGTCATCGTCGACGAGATCACGCTGGCGAAAGGGAAGAATGGCGAGGTTGTGGGAGCCAAACTTTAGGGCGGCACATCTGCTGCTGGGATCTGCCGTCAAGAAGTTGTACGTGTCTTTGAGATCAGCGGACCAAGGTGCAATGCCGGGCAAGTCTGGGTTCTCATAGTAGTGTATTGATATTGTATGGAGGTTGTACGACTCGGGATCCCACTCCACCAGGCTCAGCTTTGCATCCCGAAAAGCCACCAGCAGCGCCTCGCCCCTCGACTTTGTGCTGAGTGCCTTTACGCGCGCCAGCGACACGACTGTGCCGGCGAGGGGGAACTCGCCGACCAGCACCAGCTTGGCGGTGCTCTCAGTGCGCTGCAAGGGCACATCGGCCGCCTCAGTGTCCAGATTGGCGGCTGCATTCTCCGCCTCGTCTCCTCCGCCCGGTGTGACCTCAGTCGTGGTTGACTTGAGCTCAAAGACCTGCAGCAATGAGTTCTTTGCGACGACCAGGTTGTTTGCCCTGGCGTGCAGCAGCGGGAGGTGGAGGGCATGGCTAACAGCCGTAGGCGGGGCTATTTCCGTGTAGCACTGCATGGCGATGGCTCCGCTCAGAGCAGTTTGGGGGGGTGGGGTGAAGGTGAGCGGAGCTGGAGGGGACCGCGCCCGCGATGCTTTGTCTTGGTGTTGAGTCGCGTCGTGGAGAGAGAAGTGTGGGTATGCGTGCATGGACATAGGCCCGATGGGGCTAACGCGTCTGCTAGGCTGCATGCATCATCCCCGCTCTGCGACGCGACAGGGACGTCATGCTGCTGCCGCTGGTTTGTTACAGCACCATGTACCACCACTGTTAGCGGCGCACGTCAAACGACCAGGAAACGGGAAAAAACACCAAAAAGACGGCCTGCGACCTGCCTTCGCTTGTCTTTTCTGCATCGCTTTTCCTAATTTCATTTCCGCGACATCCACCATGGCTCTCATCCAGACGAGCCTCATCTGGGTGGCCTACGCCGTCGCCGTGGGCCTCCTCTTCCTCATCGCGTCCACCTTCGTCTACGTCTACCAGAAGCCGCGCGATCGCGCTGCCGCTGTCACCATTGTCTGCATCTTCACCACGCTTGCCCTGCTAGCCACGGTCCTGCTGATCCCCGTTGACGTCGCTCTCGTCTCGTCCACATCCCGCTCTAGCCTAGGCCGCAAGAAGGACTGGGCCACACCAGACAAGGTCGACAGTATTCTCTACACCCTGCGCATTGTCTACTACTCGCTCTACTCGCTTGACGCTATTCTCTGCCTGCTTGTCATTCCCTTTACCTACTTCTGGTATGAGGAATACGACGAGGATGCCGCCGAGCACGGAGAGCAGACGGCCGGCCAGCGCATTGGTGGCGCCATCAAGTGGACGCTTGGTTTCCTTGTCTTCGTCGTCGCCATCTTCCTCGTAGGCTTCTTCGTGCCTTTTGCAAAGCAGGCCAAGGACGACAAGCGTCTTGATCTCGACTACTTCAAGCATCTGCTGTCTGAGAACCGTAAGCATAGCCAAGGCGCACTTCAGACTTCAGACACACAAGCTAACAGCCCTCCAGATGGCGAGCGTGCTCTATCCTTTGCCCTCGGTCTACTCATCACAGTCGGAACCGTGCTCTATGTCCTCTACACCGGCGCTGGTATGGCGCTACTGCCTGTTGCCATGATCAAGTCGGCACCTTCCATCTCGGCCCCCACCCTTGCCGCGAACACTGCCTCTCAACTCGAGTCCAACCGTGAGCGCCAGAGGCAGCTTGAAGGCCGCAGCCAAGGCCGTGAGGGCGGATTGGATAGCAGGGACAGGCGCGAGCTTGAGGCCCTTGTTCGCGAGGAGCGCACTCTGATCCGCCGCGAACGCCTGGCGGCCGAGTCCAGTGGTGAGGACCGCCATTGGATTGTCAAGGCCTGGATCAGGACAGAGGCCTTTTTCCGCCCGCTGAAGCTCCTCGGAGGCCTCATCCTCCTCGTATTTGCCCTTGTCATTTTCGCTAGTATGCTCATTACTGGCATTGACAAGGCCAAGAACTCCATCTGCGGTGCTCACTGCGGATACATCCTCGGCCACATCAACATCTTCCAACCTCTCAACTGGATCCTTGTCAAGTCTTCCAAGGTCTTCCCTATCGACTATGTTCTGTTCTTGCTCCTTGTCCTCTTCTTTTTCTCCGCCTCTGTTGTTGGAATCGCTACGGTCGGCATCCGCTTCCTCTGGATTACCATTTTCAAGATTCGCAAGGGCCACACTTCACCTCAGGCCCTCCTCATGGCCACTGTGCTCCTTACACTAATTGTTCTCGCCATCAACTACTCCGTCGCCATGGTCGTTGCTCCTCAGTACGCCACTTGGGGCCCACAAACCTACTGCGACATGAAGACCAATAGCCTTGACGAGCAACCTGACTGCGCCGAGCACAAGGACCTCATCAAGCCCTGCAGCGAACTTGCTACCAATCCCTCGGCCCAGCAGGTCTGCACACCCTCTGTTCTCAGCACCTTTATCAACCGTATCACAATCAATTTCCCCTTCTTCGGAGTCGTTCTCTTCTGGGCTCAATTCGCCTTCTTGGGCATCTACCTCATTGTCTTCGTCACCACGCTGTTCAGGGCACCCACCCTCGACCAGGAGCAAATCGATCGCGACCTCGAGGAAGAAGAGGAAGAGGGTCTGCTTGCAAGCACTGGCCGCAGGTTCGGCGCTGCATGGGGCGATGCAACTGGTCGTACCAGCAAACCTACGACTGCGTATGGCGCTACCAGCGCAAGGAATGAGGGAGATTAGTTCGCTGTGTGAATTCTCTCCGGTATGCCCTGAGTAGGCGGTAAATTGTTTTCCCTTTTTTTTTTGCCTTGTATTTTAGTATGGTGCTGGAGGATACATGTTCCCTTCCCCCCCTTGTGTATCTGTTATCCTAGTTCCTACTCGCTTGTATTTTTCGAATTCTACCGTTTTCCCTCTTAGCCACTGATTAGCATTCCCGCAAGTCAAATGAAAATAAGTTCCTAGCAAAGCAAAGGTTTAGGGAAACTACGTAAGTCTGAAAATTTCAATCAATTGAGAAATTTTCGATCTATGAATTCTCTATTTACATTGTAAAATCATTTATCTGCGACATGTCTCATTATCCCTTGCAACATCATTTCTACATCGTCTATACAGATCCACGTCCGCTAGCTCTGAACCCATCCCCGAAGAAGAGGAAAGAGATCCAGATGTTTCTCTTCGATTACATCGAACAATATTGGGTCGATTTTTTAATTGGTATACTCGGTAGGCGCGAACAACAGCATATTGATTTCGACAGAGTGTCTTTGCACATCCATGTTCTTCTGGGGGGCGTTGGGCTGAAGTATCGAGAAAGCGGAGTTTGGGACGCTGGATATACGAGGCCCGGATCGTGGAGTATCCGTATCCGTAGTTTGTATCGGCTGAGATAAAATTCCCGGTGGCTTCCCCGGCTGCGGGATGGAATGACCTGAAGGCGGAAAATGGTCACCCCTCATCTCCATCGTCCATGATCTCGTCCTCGTCGTCCTCGTCGTCTTCGTCGACTTCCTCCTCCTCCTCCTCCTCCTCTTCTTCTTCTTCTTCTTCTTCAATCCCCCGTCCCAAAACCCACGCCTCCCGATCCCTCCCCCTACTCTTGAAAAATAACACAACCCCACTCTCCATCGCGCGCTTGGCCGCGTCGCTCAGGCGTTGTGAAGTACGGACTTGGCATTTACGTATATATTGGAAATACATCGATACCTCCAAATTTCCCGCTCCTATAGCATTCCGCAGCGAAGTCACAAGCGCGACATGCACCGCCGCCTCATCCGCCTCCGTCTCCCTCACAATCGTGCTAAACGCCTCCAACCGCGGTGGCAGCAGCGCTAAGAACTCCGTCTCATCCGCGTAGTCGACATCCACGAATGTGTCGAGAGGACAAGCCACACTGTGCAAACTATCAAACTCGCTGAACGAGCCCAGGACGCCGACGCCGTGGCCCTCGGGATAAATCGTCTCGATGATCTCGGTGTCCGAAGCGTCGGAGACCGAAAGCCGCTCGAGGCAGGCGCGGTGGTGGCGTAGTGCGGTGCCTAGTGAGCTCCAGGAGTGCTCGGGGAAGATGGATAACGGGTTTGAGTCTGCGGCGAAGGGCTCCCAGGGGGCGGTGTGGAAGTTGTATTCGAAATGCTCGAGGGAGCGTATGGAGGTTATGAGGTGGGATAAGGCGGTGATATCGAGCATTGCGCGGTGTAAGAAGAGTTCTTTGATGGAGCTTGTGAAAGGCTGTATAGGCCAGGATTTGAAGGGTGTGGTTTGGTGGAAGCCATCTAGTTGGAGGTGCAAGAGAGAGGGGAGGCGGAAGAGGCTAGATAGGGATTCGATTGGGAAATCCCTCGATGCCAAGCGCCTGGCTTTGATGCAGAGATGTGTCAGTTTGGAGAATTGGTTGCGGGGCTCGAGTGATGAAGCAATAGCTTCGTTGAATAGTCTTAGCCAACCCGCTGTAGTAACCCTTGCACTCGTTGCTTCTTCGTCGTCGATTTTGGTAAGATCAACCCCCAACGTCATCCAGCGAATGTTGTGTCCGTTTTCGAGGACACGGAGAAAAACTTCTCTCTCTGATTCTTTGCCTTCAGCATCTGTGAAAGCGTATACCAAACTCTGCACATTTCTAGTCAGTGCGGGCCAGCGGGAAATCGCATGTGCGTCCTCGTGATGCGGTCGGATACCCCCTACAGTTCCATACAACAACTCTTGAGCAATCCGTTTGCAGCGTCTGTCTACACGACAAAGTCTCGCCAAATCATCTTTCTGATCCCTCAAGTGCTGGAGGATGCAGAGAAGCAGCTCTTCTGGTATGCTACCAAGGCTAACTTGCGGTTCCCTCGATATAGCACCTTCTTCCGAACTTCTGATGGGTCCGGGGCTGGTTTCTGTGGCCGCTAAAATAGATAGTGCGAACTCCAACGGGATCTTTTTGCTCGATGCAGCAGACTTGCCCGTCTGCAACTCGCCAGCTGTATGAGTCCTTTTCATTGGGAAACAGGGAAGCTCTCCAAGTTCGTATGTTGTAAAGGGAAAAACCCCTTGTATATAAAATCAAAGTCCACTGGTGTTTCAGTTGCGGAAGCTGTGGTGGAACCGAGTATAAAAACCATGTTGTTGCGAATCCCAGGCATGGGAATTTTAGGCTGACGACGTTGCCTCACCGTTCCGATTGGCTCCTTCACGGGGAAACCCATTGGCGCCCAGCTGGCTGGTCAGGCATCCCCCTGGTGTCAGTCGGCCAGTAAGTCGTGTGAAAGTGACCGAATACAGTTTTCTTTTATTGTGTGAGCAGCCGTATTGCGTTATTGATGAGCTCCAACGGTGGAGCTGATTTCGGTATCCCGTTGGCTAACATTCGTATCTGATGTTCTGAAAACGTCTCGTGAAGTGAACGTGTTGTTGATTGCGTGAAAGCCGAAGGGGATACGGTCTTGCGACTCACCGCCGACCAGCGCGTGTGAATACATGCTGCGTAGGCGAGAGAAGTGGATGGATGCGCATGAGGTATAGAGCGTCTGCCAAAAGCGTGAGTTAGGTTAGTAGATATGAGGTGAAAGAGCTCGGGCGTGTGACTGGCAGCCAGTGGTAGCAAACAAATGCGGAGAGATCCGGAAGCAAACCTTTGACAACTAGATGGCAGTTTGCTACTCCCACAAACAACGTCTGTTTGTACCCGACAGCCGGTGGGAAAAGCGCCACACTTGCTGCTTCTATTGACATGTACATGCGTGCGAATGGTGAGATGCTCACGTGCCGTGCTTGAGCCGTGGTTGTGCCAAGTGTCAGCACGGCAATGCGGAATACATCCGGCAGTCTTGTCTTGATGGATGTCATATCCTTATTTTGTCTTCTCCGTCGATGTTACTGTTCTGCTTTCATCTCCTTTTCGAGGTTCTACGGACGTTCAAGTTTCTCTAGTATGTACGTACAGGTACATTACCATTTGCACGAGATCGTGTCGACTAAAATACGTACCGCCCTGAACGCCGCGACACTAAAACACACTCGCCCTTCTCGAACGACTCTAGAAAAAGATGGTCTCTGTATAAATGCGCAAGCCTCTCGACAAACACTTGGGTACTTCCTTTATTGACGTAATATACAGGCCGTGGGAGCGTCTGCGAGCGCATGCCAATGCTCAATGCCGAGAGACTGCAGCTCGCACATTCCAGTTTTGTATCTTCACTCCATCGTGTTATCTCCCATTAACCTGGTTTCGGCCGCTCTCATCCCAGCACCTCGCAATAACCTTAATGCCAAGCGACTAGAACAAAATCTTGGACAGCGGGCTAATGCGACGTTCTCAAGTCAGATGTGCCAAACTTCCGAGAGTCCGAAGCTCCAAGCCAGCGCGCGCGCACTACACAGAACATCTGGGGTAGTATGTGTAATCACCTTCCCCAAAGGTGCTCTTTCCCCTATGGTGCTCACAGCTGGCGTTGCTCGTAATACTAGCCAAGGCCGAATTGCAGGCCGAACCCAGATCGACTTTGTGCCGGGCAGTCCAGCAAACGCGCTCCGAGTGAGATTCGGGTTCGCCATAAGAAGTACCCAAGTTATTTTTCTGCTTGGCGGAAGTCCATCCAGTTAGAACCTCCACGAATCACCTTCTGCAAACAGTTAGTATCGCTTTTGGACGGCTACATCACCGTGGATCAGTAGGACCATAAAAGAACCCCTGCTATATCGTTACCGGATAACAGTCACGTGATCGTTTCCCACCTTCCGCATGCAGCATGATTGCCAAATTATGCCCAGACTGACATCAATTTACCAAGACATTAACGTACTATGGCGGCTGAATTGTGGCAATGCGGTGGGCGCGCTCATAGGAGCATTGCAGAGTTATCTATGGGCACCAGGCTTTTATATATACCCATAGAGTCCTATGTAGAAAACTTGCTCATTCCAGCTCAATTGCACTCCACGCACGCAAAGTAGCCAATATGAAGTTCTCAGTTGCTGCACTAGCGCTTCCTGTTGCGGTCCAGGCTGCTTTCTTCTCCAAGTCGGAGTATGCCTCCGGACAGGTTCATCAGAAGTTGATGAAGCTGAAGAGCGTATGTTTATCTGCGGACTACCTTTTTTTTCGTTGTTTTCGGTCTTCTAACTTGTGTCAAAGGATCAATGGGAGCGTGATGTGGCAGAGGGCAAGCAAGATCCCACTCAGTGGGACTCTTTCTCTACCTTGAAGAAGGGAGCATGGGCACCTGGAAAGAACGACAACCGCATCCCTTGCAAGGATGGCCTCGCCATCGCTGAGCCAGGAAATGCAAACCAGACTTACCGCTGCAAGAACGTTAGTAGTACACTGAAAATCGAACAACCCAGTAATGTTTGTACTAACAAGAGACTAGATGGACCTCTACGACTTCATCAGCCACGCCGACATGGGTGGTCCCGAAGGCCGAGGATCCTCCTCCTGGGGCTGGACTGCCGCCAACGGCCGCGAGTTTGGTATCGTCGGCCAGTTCTCTGGCGCCGCCTTTGTCGAGGTCCTTAAGAATGGTCAGATGGTGTACCTTGGCCGTCTCCCCGCGCAGAGCGAGGGTTCGCGATGGCGCGAAATCCGTGTTCTGAACGATTGGGTCATTATTGGCTCCGAGGCCGTCGGTCACAATGTTCAGAGTAAGTTCAATTGCTTCATTTCTTACAAGAATCATTGCTAACACGCGACACAGTCTTCGACATGAAGAAGCTTCTAACCGTGAACCCGGCCTCCCCCAAGACCTTCGACCCCAAAACCGACCTCGTCGGCCTCTTCTCCGACCTCCCCATCGGCCGCACGCACAACGTCGTCGTAGACTGGGACCACGACTCCATCCTCGCCGTCGGCGCCCAGCCCCGCAACGAGACCTGCAAGTCCGGCCTCAAGTACATCGACCTCTCCAACCCCAGCAAGCCCACCTCTCCTGGCTGCGCAAGCAGCGACGGCTATGTGCACGATGCTCAGTGCGTGAAGTACAACGGCCCGGACCGCAGTTTCCGCGGCCGCAATATCTGCATAGGCTACAACGAGGACACGATTACCGTGTATGATTCGACGTTCAAGAATGGAAACCCAGCCTCGGAGATCCTATCCACGCTCTCGTACCCCGGTGCGACCTACTGCCACCAGGGCTGGTGGACCGAGAGCAACTGGCACCAGTACGTGCTCCTGAACGACGAGCTCGACGAAGTCGAAGCCGCAGGTCCTGCTGCTTCGGGCCGCCCGATTACCCACATTATCGACTTGACGGATCTGCGCAATCCCAAGGCGACTGGAACGTTCTTTGCGACTGATCACAAGGCTATCGATCACAACCTTTACATTGTGGATGGCCTTGCGTACCAGAGTAACTACGGCGCGGGTCTCTGGGTTCACGACGTCAAGTCTGTGAGCAAGGATCCTACCGGCAAGGGCGTTACCGTCGAGGGCTTCTTTGACATCTACCCTGAGGATGATGCTGCCGGTGGTATCGTCGAGTTCGTGGGTACTTGGTCGCACTTTTTGTTCCCTTCGGGATACGTGCTCATTAGTAAGTTTTATCCTCGACTCAAAGATATGCAGTGGAGAAAGAATGTAAATGCTGACTTTGAAACTTTGCAGATACCATTGAGCGCGGCGCTTTCACCGTCAAGCTGAACAAGGGCCGTGGTGCCAGGCGCGGTCGCGGACACGGCGGCAAGTCCCGATAAACTACTTACTTGATGAGTGGGATCGAGCGCAGCCAGCTCTCTTTTCCTTGATGAAAAGTCGCAGACTTGACGATATGACAAGCGTGTTTTCATCCTTTTTTTCACATTTCTCCTGTATATACATATACCCTGTTCCAAAAACATGAATATCCCCGACCCCTCCTTTCTCTGGAACTCGCCCTCTGCTCCAAGTCAAAAAGTCAACGTGACCAACGAGTAAGATGCTGCCACGCCGAACTACCTAGTGATCAGCATAAAAATCTGCCTGCAGCGGGAAACTCGCAGTTGCATGTAGATCTAAGACTCCCCCCCCCCCTCTTTTTTTGCCGAAACAAGGCTAGGTCAGTATAGCGTTTCTGGGATGCGCAGACTACTACATATCCATTGCCTAGTGCGGTAACGACGCGAAAAGGAAAAAAAAATATTAGACTTTTGTGTAGCGTGTATACTTTGCGCCCCTTCTCGTGCAGGGAAAAAAAAGTATGTGTTGTACAAACACAAACGTAGACTGCGTTTGCAGCCGGTATCGGGCTTACATTTTGCCTGCATGGTTTATTTTCTTAGGGACAGAAATGGTTGTTGTCATGGGGGGATGGTGGTAAGGTACGTGTGCCTCTCTTTTATCGCCTCCGGCCATTCCGATTGGGGAATTTCCTGTTTTCGAATGGTATGTACATGTATGTGTAAGCTGCCAGGGCAGATGTTCCCCGGCCTAAGTTTGCCGAGTGTGGTAACGACCATAATAAAGCCAGAAAAGCGTGTGTCTACTAACACGACTGTTATGATAAGAGCAAATCCCGATCAACACAATCACCAATAGTCCAAACATGGCTTTATGTTTAATTCATGTAATTTCTTTCCGCATGCAGCTGTTTGCTGACTTTGCAGATAACTAAAAACGATAATTGCTAACGACAGATGACCGCCCAACCCCACTTGCTATGCGAAAAAGGTGCAAAAGCAGAAAAAGAATATGAACCCGGCTTTTCTTCTGCAAACAAAGAGAAAAGCGTTATCAGCTCGACCGATGGAATTGCAAACAAAAGACGTAAACGAGTTAAGAAAAACCCTGCGTTTTTGCTTTTTAGCTTTCCAGATTCCAGTAGTGAGACGAAAAAGATAATGAGAAAGTTCGAAAGAAAACGCCATTACAAGCTTTGTAATACTACTCATCTCAGCGCCAGATTCCTATGCAGAAGGGGGTGGTGACTGTAAAAGAATATTGGGTCATTTGCCTTGGGCTTGGGAAAATGAAGAAGGGTTCGTTGAGAGACGTGACGGGATAATGAAAAGGCTCCTACAGAGAGTTCTCTGTTTGGACGAGTTCCTCAAAGGCCTCTCGCCACTTGCGAGTTTCCTCCTTGGAAGGCCTGGGTAGGGGCTTGCGAGCGTATCCACCGTAGCCGTAGTGAGCCATGAGGCCAGCTTTGGTGCCGATGATGCCTCCTTGGATGGCGGCCCAGTCGCCTCTAGCCACGACAGCCTGGAGCTTGCGTGCTTCTGCGAGGTGGCCGGCCTCGAACAGTTCAACTAGCTTGACGCAGGTCTTGGGGGCAATGTTGGCCATGCCGCCAATGATGCCGGATCCGCCTCCAACTAGTGTCTGGAGAGTGAAATCGACCGATCCGCCCATGCACATGAAGCCGGAGCCTGGATCTGAGACGGTGGCTGCTCGTGTTGCTGACGCAATGCGGTTGAGCTTTCCAGTGTTGCCGCAGGTCAGCTTACAGCCGACGATGTTGGGATGCTGGGCCAACTCGATGATGACGTCTGAGTTGAGATCAAGACCCGAGACGGCACCTGGGTAGTTGTAGATGAGAATGGGGATAGGAGACGCAGTGGCTACATCGTTGAAGAATTCTTTGATAGTGTCCTTGGAAAACAAGCCCTGGTAGTATGCTGGTGGCAGTACCAAGGCATAATCTCCGCCGGCGGCCGCTGCCTCTTCACAGAGTTCAATGGCCTCGCGAGTGGACTGGGCACCACAACCGACGATGATGGGCATGTAGCCAAAACCTGCGTCATCGAGAGCCTTGCGGGTAGTGTTTGTGATGAGGTCACGCTCCTTGTGCGACAGGTGGACAGCCTCGCCATTGGATCCTTGGGTGGTGATGCCAGCAACACCAGCCTTTGCCAGACGGACTGCGTGGCTAGCTACCGTTTCGACATCTACATTGTCCGTAGCTGGGTCGAAGAATGCTACGGTGGGAACGTAGATGCCAGGGACCAGCGCCCGCCGGACACCAACGTCAGCAGAAGTCATCGAGTTGGCGTCGAGGTCGTTGTAGCGGTCAGCCAGGTAGACAGATTGCACAGGATGGTGGAAACCCGAGTCTTGAGTGAAGCTGTTGGCAGGAGAAGGGGCGTCGTGGTGTGGTGACATGATATAACTTTTTGGGAGTGTGGAGAGGAAAGTAGGCTTTTATACTAGCAAAGGCTTGTAAAGAGAAGCGAGACTTTGGGAAAGAACTAGCGGTACGCTGAAAGGAAAAACGGGACGAATACGTCAATGGTGGATGGATGTTTGGTCAAGAAGCCAGGTAGCGCAGGTACTTAAATGTTGCAAACGCCGGACCTGCCCTGGCACATTCTCAAGGGCAACGACGAGCGTGGGGGTCCAGCTGACGGCTTTGTCAGGAGAGCTAGCGACGGCAGGCATTTCAGGGTAACGAGTAACGAGCGTGTCCAAGAGGGATGAGCCGGCACTTGGGGGTGAAGGGCAAAGGGGCGGTGACAAGCGCAGCCTGTCCGAGGCAGTCCTGACCTGCACGTAGCCGATGCCAGGCACCGCTGGCTGCGTTTAGTTTGCTGGGTGGCTTGAACTGGTCCAATGAAGACAGGGCGTCTTACTGATTGAAGCGGCGTTTGTTTCTTTTCGCTCGTGCAGTAGCCAGGAGGGCAGGGGTGGGGAGGCTGTGACGGTCGGATCGTGGCCGGATGTGAGAAAAAGGCCAAGGGCAAGGGCCCGGACAAGGGGGAGCAGCGCCTTGTGACGATCTCTGAGGGTCCCTTGGGGTCTGGTGATAGGCCAGCGGGCGCCACTGCTGGCCCCATGCGAAGGGTTGGCGGAATCAAAGGAGCGTTGATGGATACCGTTCGGGCGTGGTAGTGTGGGGGTGGGGGAATCGTGGCCGTCCGGTGTAAATGGGTGCGGTGGGTGGGCCGCCATGCTGTTGCAGTCAGTCCTTGTCCTCACACCATCTGGTGATGCTCCTCCTGCTCCCCCAGGCCCAGTCGCCCCAGCCGCCGCTAGAGTTTGGCGGGCTTTTTGCTCCGAGTGCAGCAGAGCAGATGCAAAGGCCAAGGGTGACGAAGGATTTCCCAGCAACGCTGCAAGACGTGGCAGCCCGTGTGAAGCAGGCTCTTGTCACCAGACCATGCGGCACCAGCCCGGCCGCCGTAATCTCCATGCAACCATGACATGGCCTCGAAAACCTGCCGAAAATAGTGGAGGCACACACATACGTACGTGTGTATCAAACATGTGCCTTGTTGTTGCAGAGCCTGGCCAAGATGACGGCGATCGATTGGAGTCGGGAGAACCCCACGCCCATTACTCTTGGTGGCGGGGGGGCCGGGCCCGAGCGTCTTCCCTCTGAGGCTCTCCAACACACGTTTCCAGACAGTGGATTCGCCGCCAGCACCGCTGGGTCCATGTACTACTAGTAGCATTGAATCGTGTACCTAGCTATCTAGGCCAATTGTGGCAGCAAACGTGTTTGCACCATGCCAATACACGCGTATGTCGACATATGAACAAGGGGCAGAGCGCGGGGAAAGGTGCCGAGCATATACCACTACTCGACATGCTCCATCTAGACATACTTCGGTATCATGACGGCGGTGAGCAGGGTCTGTCGACATGGCCCCAAACTTGCTTTTTTTCTGCAACATCAAAACGATACGGGGGGTGAGACGCCTCCTCGTGGTACCTGATCCTCCGTCGTGGACTGTGGACCGGTGTATCGCTGGCCCCCACGCAGCCGCTTACCCCGACAATGGCAATCAACTTCGCCCCAGACAAGTCCGTCTCCGAATCGTCCCGCCAAACTCTCCTGGGTCGGCGATACTACTCTACTCTACGGGGGCAGTCTCTTTGTTCTGCGCATGTCCAGCGAGTGGTAGCATTCATCAACATGCGCTCCCACCGACATGTCGTGCACCCCGGCGACGCCGTCATGGTGGTACGATGATTGGAATGTCTATACCCACTACGTCGCCAGCTGGATACATACTAGCTCTTATCTAGTCTATATACGTGGTCTCTTGACCCAGAACAAGTCCGAGTCCGTCCAACTAAGTACAAGACCAAGTCTGGCAAAACCACCCATGACCAGCATCCGCCATGCAGAATGCACAGCCTCGCTCGGAGCGCCAACCGAGCCCCGAGGCCTGGAGCGATGCGATGCAGCCAGCAAAGACCGACGCTATTACCCCACATTTTGGCGATCCTAGTTCCCCGCCTTCTTACCACGTTCGAACACTCGCCGCACATGTTGAACTCGCCGCCGCACCAGCCTTCTGACTCGCATAGCCTCCCCAAGCTTTCTTTGCCATTGCTCTTGTCCTCGTGTACCGCCATTCCATGCATTGACGCCCTGAGATATGCATGTCACCCCGGGAATGGCCGTCTTGGATGCTGCCCAAGTTCCATCATCGTGTGCTGGCCAAAAGCCATCACGAGACCCCTTTGAACAGCACTATTTTGCTTTTTTCTTCACCGCAAACACTATATGCTGCCAACGGACGCCATTAATCGCCATGAGCAAGCAGAATGTCAACAGTCACCGCTCTCTACCCGACAACAGCCCATCTCACGCCGGGAGTAGCCATAAAGAGGGGTGAGGATAAGGGTCAGGCATCACCTTGGATCATGCGGGGCACATGCAACCCTGCGAAGCCAGACCGTTGTCCATGTCCACATCCATCGGCAACTTGCCCAGCCGACGGCATTCGCACATGCTTTTGCGGAAAACATTTCTGACACTCGTCACCATGACATGGTCTCGTTTCCATCTGCCACGGACGGCCAGACACACCGATATCGCCTTTATACATACATAGTGCAAGCGTAAGCGACAGAGGACAAGCAACGATATTCCAAGCGTACATGCCCATCGCAAACTCCGTCTGGCCTCGGAAAGCAACCCCCCGCTTCAGGTACTGGTGTTTAAGTCTTCGCCTCCCCTTTTTTTGCTTTACCTGTAGTTTGTCGATCATTTGTCATGGCTGTTCGTGGGGGTCAATTGCCATTCAACATCTGCATTAGGGAGAACGGCAGTTGTGCCCGCTACTTGTTTGCCACCCCAATTCTGTTTAGCAAGGAGCCTCAACACATCCCAGCCAAGCTGATCGGACGGGATCCTCTCCACTGTCTCGGCGTGGGATGCCGCATATACTTAGGTTCCACCCCTAGCCTCAGGCTCGGCTCATCTCCACCCGTCTGTTGTTGCCTCTCTCAACAATTCAATCATGAGAGGCAGTTGAAGCTGAATGATACTTGCTGACAAGTTCAATGGCTGTCCCGTTGTTGAGAACTTCGTATTAGCATTTGGGCCTTGCAGGTCATTGAGCAGGTGATATGCTATAGGATGAATTAACGTTATGATGGGTAGCCTAAGCAGGGTTTAAAAATGGAGACAAGCAAGCTCATGCAACGATTGGCTAGTGTCTTTCGAGGTTGAAACTGCTACTTTCCACGTCTTTCGCCAACTATGCGAATTCGTGTGGGGGTAACTTCATGACAATCGCGAGTGCTATAATTCCTCTCGACAGATGTTGGAATAGCCAGTTGCCAGGCAGCCTCGAGACGAAGATCGAGTGTTGGATCTCCAAGTGCATGTCTACACATTGATGATTGACGTCTAGCCACAGGCAGTCGATATACGCTAGAGTCAAGATTTTTCACAAACCCACCTATGCAAGCGAGTATCTACAAGGATCCTACATCTGGCGAAGCTTTCCAATCCATCGACCCATGACAACCTAAAAACACAATCTCTATCCTAGTTGTTTGCTGGGCAGCGCTTGCGCGTAAGCCACAGATTCATATCATTACTCAACTATGGCGGCAAATCCGGAGTGTAGTCGTATCGGGCCATATTGGTGCCATCGGCGTCAGTGGCTGCGCGTATATGGCGCATGTCTGCGGTCTGCGCCAAGTATAGCACATGCGCATCATAGATCCTCAACAGATCGTATAATCTTACCCCATTACGAAGAATTATCATGCATACCTGCGAGCACGGGAATACTTCTTGATCTTGCCAGACAACCTATGTGTCTACAAAAACCACATTGTCAGTTTGGAGGAAGTTATCCGCACTTGACGGGTATATTTCGGGTAAAGCGAAAATAATACATTCAATGTAACCGGACAGCATACTATCAATTTACTTCAATTTATCTGGAGTAAGCACGCTGTTTCTCAGCAGTCGTTCAGTTCACGTCTGCATCCAGCACAATTCCGTATCACAGCTATCCCTCTTCCTGTATCTCGACACGAACAACATGCCAAACCAAGTTTTGAGGACCTCCACATGTCAAAAACTTTTCCAGTCTGGGATTCTAGTCGCAAGCCCCTCGCGAGACCCTTGCGCTCAGCCGTGTAGTCCATGTAGTGTGCACATGTTACCAAACCTCGGTCCGAAAAGGCAGTGCAGATCTTCCACCAATCTCGCTCTCCACTATTACAAACCAACCAGCTCGGCAAAGCACATTGCTTCTCTGAACGGTATGCACTTCCCCAGCTCTTGGCAACCGCCTTTTATGTCCAAGTACATACATGACATGTTGCTGTTTATTTGGTCGACTGATAGTAAATCGCGGCAAATGCGAAAATACAAGTTGGCTAGACGACTGCACTGAAAAGTACATGTGCGAGAGAACTTGGTTTGTGAGTATCTCGTGTCGGAGTCGCAAGATGCATTACCTGATGAAGGAATATTGGACTCGAGGTGTCACAGGCATTGTACATGAAGTCACAATCTTGCAGAAACTCTGTTTTGACATCTACGCCATGGAGAGAATTTATACTCCGATTGAGACTCTAAACCAGCGCTACCCTTTTGGGGAAAACTCACTACACTGCATTCTTCTCAGATAAAAGCAACCGCAGTGCTATCATTAAAGTACTCTAAAATAGCCATATATGTCCCCAAATTAACTACACGAGCAATCGAAGCATACTCACCACTCACCCCGGCTCACCAAACTACTAACACCAAAAAGACCATGTTGAAAACAGAAACCATGCCCATCGCACACAACCCTCCATACTCCCATCTCTTCCATCCACCACCCACCGTCATCCTACCCATCACACCGCCATCTCCAAACTCCCATCAAGCCCAACCCATCATCCTACCGGTCGGAACCCGGAACCCTCGTCAAACCTCATCCCGCCCTTCCCCGCCGCCCTCCTAGTGCCACACCCTCAAACCAAGCCAGCGCAAACGTTTTTTCTCGCCCAACCTTGTTTCGTCCCCACCCGCGCTTGACGCAAACGTGGGGGGTTCATACGGTTACTTTATCTGTATTTGCGGACGCCGAAGTTAGACCGCGGGGGGGGGGGGGGCTGCTCACCGAGTTGAGTGGGATACTCCGATCGGGACTTGTGTTATGTGCGTGGAGTTTTTTTAGTTTTTTTCTTTCTTGCACTCTTGATATTCACAAGGCTACAAGAGTGTGGCTCGGAGTTTTTTTTCTATATAGATACCTGGGTTGGACGTTCATGTGTTTGGTTTTTTTTTAGGCGCTGGGGGTGGGGATTAATGCTTTGAGGGTCACGTGGGGTGGATAGTTTTTTTTGGTTGAGGAACGGGGTGGATTGACGCTGGTATGGAGGTGATGGTGATGCGTAAGGTGGAGATAGTACACAGCCTTCGTTATTGTTGGGGTAGGAAAAGGGCGCAAACGACGCGTAGGCGATGGGGCGTCATCGTTGAGGGCGTGTGTGCTGGGTTGTTGCCGGGATAGGCGCTAAGTGGATGTAGGAATCTCATCTGTGTGGTTGCGGGTTACTTCCCGTCTTGATCCGAGGTAAGCGGTGATAATGTGCTTAGGTTTTGCGCAGGTGTTTACTGAGCAGTGGCGTCGGCGTGGAAGTGGCGGGCTGTGATATCGGGCCGTCTGGAGGTTGTTGGTGTGGTAACCCCTTGTTTGTGACTCGATGGTTCAGGTTGATAGTAGTACTACTCGGTGTTTTCTGGAGATTGCGCTTTTCCCCTGTGAGCCAGTAGGTCTTGGCTGGATTGCTGCTGAGTTGTTGACCAACTTATCTGTATGGTGAAGAGTATGTTGTCTGGTTGCGAAACGCTCCGTCCCTGTCCCAATATAATATGCACGGCTGCTAGTAGTCTTGAATAATTCTTATACACTTTCATCGGTCAAGTCACAAAGTAGTTTTTGTGGTGTCGAGCTATAGCAGTGTGTCTATCGATGCTATCTAACCATTTATAGAATAAACAGTCGTGCTTTTGCCAGCAAGTGGCACGTTGTAAAATCCATACCCAAGTCAGCAACTCATCGCACCGGTGTTGCTGGAGTTCTCCCGGACAGCCGCCACCGTTGCCGTCACGTTAGTTACAGACTTGAATCGGTTCCTTTATTGAACAAACTTACTTACTTTGACCTTGTCACCCAAACCGCCCGCCACATCGTGAGAGAGATGTATCCGATGCCCAAGTGTTTCTGAGTATTTGGCCGCAACGAGGCCCTGCCTAGGCCCCTCCAGAATCGCGCGTAATCAGGCTGTTTTTGACTACCACAGTTTTCTCAGCCCCTGGCTTTATAGGACGTTCTGGTTGCCATACATTTGGTACTGGCACATCGTTTCGCAGCCCAGCTATCCTGACGTCGCTCCAAACTCGTATTGCTGGAATGATTTTAACTTTCGCCCATATGTAAGCCAACCTATCCATACCCCTCAATCTTATTCCAACAACCGTATGCGTTTCTATTGCGATCCTTGTGTGAGGACGATCTTGCTCTGTCCACCGCTTGGCGTCTTCTGGTTGTATCGGCTGCAGCGCGATGCTTGTTCGTTGGGCGATGACTACCTCCTTGATAGTCATGCCGGTCCCAGATCCTGGGTATGTTTTAGGGAGAAGGGAATTGGTTATATGGCCATCCTCTTCGTGTGCACACTCTGTCAACTTGAATTGAAGAGCCGGATCTAGACCTATTTTTGCGTCCGGCAGTTGGCCGCCGTCGATAGTACAAGAACGGCCAGACTCGAAAAAGAACTGAATGGTCGGGAAGAAAGTATTCATGGTCCAGTAGATGATTTCTAGCCTCATCAGTCTCGTTGTCTCCACATATGGTATTGGTTGTATGTACTTTCGTCGACGAGTTGATTGGCCAGGACCGTCGCTCCAAACTCAGCTGTGTGCCCCAGATTGACGTTTTGGGGAACAAAGCCGCCTTGGATTCTGGTTTCCACCGTCGTTGCTTCGGATCCTCTTCGCTCGTCGTCGCTCGCCAAAGCCTCGCTGAGCTCATCCCGGGGTTTCAAGGGTAGTTGAAGCTTGCGCCGATTTACTTCTCGCCATAGATCTTCGATCAGGCATTTGTAATATTCCATACGAGAGAGCTGCTAACGGCTCGTGTAGAGGTATTGGTAGAGGTCTGAGGCGCGAGATCCCGCGCTGCGCCTCTTATTGGCAATCGTGGCTATCAATCAGGTAACATGTGATTGTAAGCGATGAAGAGACTAATTGTGGCCCAAATTTGAAGCGAAGGAGTGTATTCAGGTGCTGGGGGCAGTGCTTGTTTTCACGTGCTGCTTACAAAATCACTCCACGCTCATTGGGAAAGAGTGGACGTCAAGCGATCCACAGTGAGAGGAAGGGACACCCAAACTTCTCGTCATGTCTTCCACGTCATGACTCCTTGCCAGGCTTGACAGTCTATGGGCTCAGTTAAGTTTCTTGTTGTGCAGATATCACAACCAGCTTATAACAATCAGACTCCTTTTGCTAGCCACTTTGTGGACATTTGTTTGACATTGTCATTACTTCGTATGAATGTTCGTTTGCATACTCGCATAGCTACTATACATGTCGGCTTTACCTTAGTTTAACTATCGATACCTCGGCTTGGTCATGAATCTTTCTTTCACTTGCATTCCTTCACCTACAATTCACGATGGGTACGTGTTTCATGCCACTGCCATTGCAAGTTCGAAAGATATTACACTAGAGTCTAACTTGCCCTTCTTCGGTTCATGATTTGTTATATCTCCGCAAGAAGCCTCATAGCTACCTGCAAATTTCACATTCATACTGTGTGTTAGCCAGATAGCCATGAGAGACACACGCTGGGACCCATGCAACTTAGTGAAAGGCAACTAGGCGTATATCATTCACTGACCTGCCACCTGACCGGCCACCCTGGCATACTCCCACTCACATATATGTACTTGACACTGTGTCCATGTCTCTGAGCTCACAGTTCGTCTCCTTTTTAAGATCATACTATTGACTTAAAATCGCTACCCATTACCAGCAACATGGCACCAACAACAAGGAACGCCCAAAGCTTTTACGACTTCCTTGAACACTCTGCAGGTAGGTACACTCATCAATATAGTAGTGGTTCTTACTGAATATATCCAAGAGATCCGAAATCTTATATACGACTTCGCCATCGCTGCCGGACCACCAAACACCCCAGAAGGCGACGCATTACTTCGAAAGGCCGTCCCAAAGCCATATGCGACACGCTTCTGGAATTTTTTCGGCCTCACACAGACCTGTAGGCAGATTCGGGCTGAGTTTCGTCCGCTATGGATGCGAAGCAGTTCCATTCGATTCACGGGACTCGAGACTTCGGTGTCATTTATCTCGACCTTCATACCGACCATTGCTGAACTCAAGCATGCACCAAAATGTTTCACCATTGGAACGCAATATACGGTCGGCGAAAAGTCAAAATGCAACATCACGCGCCTGTTCCGCATAGATGCATTCTGTCCCTATTTTACTTTTAGCACCGCAACCTACGAGGATATCATGGGACGTCTACCTCCAGACGAGAGGATATGCCCTTGCTGCGAAGGGTACACCAATCCAATCACTGATGAATGGGAAGAAAGAACAAGCATCCACGAAGAATGCACATGCGGATCTACAGAAGCAGACTTAGAGGAATGGGAAGAATTTCATGATGAAGAACTGGAGCATATGGACCTCCTTTATGAATTCGAAGACGCTAGCGACACTTGGCGGAAAGGTTTGCGGATGAACGAGATCTCGGTTTATATGACCGCCTCTTCGACCGAAGTTTTCCCAAGGTTCCGCATCGTATACAAAGAACGCGGGCCTAAGAATGGTAGCAATCCTCGTATTGTGGGAGAGCTGCTCGATAAATGGGACCTACGCGGTCTTGATGAAGTGTACGAGAATGTAGAGTGTGTTGTAAAGTATAAGAAGAACAGTGAAGCAGGAGCCGCGACGTAGAGGTGGAGGTGTTCCTTTAACTCACGAAGGCTCCGATATTATAGTTTGGATACGAAATTATTGGATAGCACTGTTTTGAATAAAAGCAAAGAAACCCTACAGATTCATCTCCATAGAAGACAGTGAAAGTGGTGTCTAGTATTTCCACAACAAATCAAAAGCACAACCGCCCAAGTCACCACGCACATTTTATTGCGATAAGGATATAGAAACAACAAGGTTCATTTCCAAATTTACCAGTCATACCAATCCCCTAATCTGTGCCCTTGGTAGTTGTGCGATGACTACTGAAACGCGAAGGTTGTGGTGGGATGTTTATATGGTGTTAATGGAAGTCGACATGATTGGCCAAAATGAACCTCGTCGATCGCGCATCACCCGATCTCCCCCGGCATATATCGATGACGCTCCAAAGATGAGATATCCACAAACACGACCCAACGCGGCTAAACAGCATGATTGCTTTAGCCACAATGACGCCTACTTTCTCGTCAGCCCTGCAGATGTGGCTGCCAGGTATCAGAAGCTCGCGATGCTTCTCTCAACCACAGTCGCGCTTCACGCCCGTTAACATCATACACCACCGTATACTGTGACTACTATGCCTACACAAGATGAGCGCGCACCGCTATTGCAGCAGAGATATAGCGAAGAGGGGCAGCCTTGCACGGTATGTCATCTTCGCACGCGTTTTCTAGCACACAAAATGAAAGGGTTACTGATTCGCGACAGCATCTGCGTATCGAGGACTTACCCAACGAGGAAAACCCACGAGAATGGACCAAAGGCCGGAAAATGGCAAATGTGGCCGTCATAGCCCTCATGTCAAGTAACACATATCCAGCCACCCTCTTCCTGCATATCATTGTGCTAACAAATACACCTAGTCCTCAGCCCCCTGGTCTCATCCATGTTTACACCCGGTATTGCGCAAATCGCTAAAGACCTCAACTGCTCCACAACCGCTGTCATCGGAACGACGACTGGCTTTGTGGTTATGCTAGGCATTGGTCCTTTGATTCTAGCACCTCTATCTGAGACGTTTGGCCGCAGGAAAATCTATCTCACATGCTTCTCTATCTTTACACTCCTCCAGATTCCCACCGCACTTGCGCCCAACATTGCCTTCCTGATCACGGTGCGAAGCATTGCCGGTTTCTTCGGTAGCGTAGGCATTGCAAATGGTGGTGGCACCATAAGCGACATGTTTTTGCCCAACGAGAGAGCTGGTGTGTTTGGCTGGTATCTCCTTGGTCCCCTTTTAGGTCCCACCCTCGGACCCCTGTTCGGAGGGCTGATCGTTCAACGACTTGGCTGGAGATGGGTCTTCTGGATCATGAGTATTGTCTGCTTCATCAACACGCTTGCTGGATACTTTTTCCTGCGCGAAACGTACGCACCTGTGATTCTGAGTGGCAAGAAGGCCGAGTTCGAGGCACAAACGGCTGAATGGGATGACACAAAGTACTCGTATGAAGGCGAGGATGCGCGACCCCTACGCGAAAAGATTGCACAGGCCCTGAAGCGTCCTCCAAAGATCTTTGCGCAACCCATCGTTGCTGTCATGGCGGTATATCAAGCTCTCATCTTCGGCACTACGTACAGCATCTACACGAATATGCAGCCCATCTACGAAGATGACTACGGGTTTTCCACTGAGCAAGTTGGGCTGCTCTATCTCGGACCAGGCTGTGGCTTCTTGTTTGCAGTATGGTTTCTCGTCCCACGCATCGACACTGTGTACAAGTCACTCACAGCCAAAAACCATGAGAAAGCTCAACCCGAATTCCGCCTGCCGCTGGCAAATATTGGGTCCGTCTTTATCCCAATGTCTCTCTTCTGGTTCGCTTGGGCAGTCGAGAAACATGGGCACTGGCTCGTCTCTATCGCCGCAACATTCTTCTACGGCATCGGACAAGTTATGATTCTCAACAGCACGCAAAACTACTTCATTGACAGCTTCGAGAAGTACGCTGCAAGCGCGATAGCAGCTGGTACTGTTTTCCGTAGTGTAGTCGGTGGCATTGTTCCAATCCTTGCACCCGCGCTGTTCGAGAAACTGGGCTATGGTTGGGGAATCAGTACGTTTGCATTCGTGAGCTTACTCCTTGCACCTGCTCCGATTTTGTTCTATGTCTTTGGGGAGCGGCTCAGGGATCGTTTTCCAGTAAGTTTGTAGATCTTGAGTCATGATGGTTATGGTAATAGTTAGAGTGATATTTCTAGAGTTTGTTGAACGTGATCAAAGGATACGAATGTGTTCTCGTCATGTGCTCTTGCAACTTTTCTCAGAGCACTTCCATTCAGACCACCTCAAAAGCGTCCATATCCCCAGTAGGCAGGTCGGGCACGCCCACTGCACGCCTCGCTGTATCAATCATAGCTTCCACAATCTCAGGCGGATAATTCCTCTTAAGCATTACTCTCACATACTCACTCAACAGGTTCAGTCCCACGTCTCCAATCTGCTCCTCGGTCAACTTCTCATACTCTCCTTCTTTCAGATCCATCCTAGCCAACCGCTGCTCCAAAAGAATATTGTATACTCTCACAACACGTTCCATATTCTTCTTGTTGGAGCGACTGTGGAAATATTGACTACGCACAGATTCTGACTCGCGCGCCATGTCTACCCAAGCCATTTGTTTTTGCAAGATCTGGGCTGCTTTGTTGGTTGGAAATATGGAAAAGTGGTGACGGAGAACATGCAGGGCAATGAGCGAGCCAGCTAGGTCCTGAGTGTAGCCGAAACAGTGCATGATGAGTGACGTTACCGCTCCCTTGTCAGCACCCGCGATGCCCATTCTGAAACGATCAGCGTCGTAGCGACTGCGACTTAGAGTTCGCCAGGATATCGTCTCTTTCAATAGCTCGCGAGGCGTGGGCAGGGCAGGATCATTCCGGGTAGCGTGGTCTCCAAGTGCTAGGCGAAGCGTTTTCCAAAGACAGCGGAGGCTTGCACCGTTCGGGAAAACGCCTTTACTGCCTTCTTGTGGGTTGGTAAGGGCTTTATAGACCACCCAGGCTTCACTGTAAGCACCCTGGCGACACTTGTTGTCCATGATAACATTCATGATAGTGGCATTCGGCTCAACAGTCGTCTCCTTAAGCTGACGGGTTAAGTACTCAACATGCTCCCATTGCAAGCTCTTAGCATGATGTTGCATGATCAGGGCAAACGTAGTAACATTGGCTGCAGGGACGCCTTGTACAGTACCTGCACCCGTGTCATTGTCGATAAACCTCTTGCCGATGCTCTGTGGATCCGATGAACGTCTCTCGCGGGCTTTGCACGCTTCATCGATCATGCGCCACCCGATGTTCTCAGCCTTAAGGATATTGGGAGTATCTTTTGTACGTATCAAAGCTTTAAGTAGCATGTTGAAATGGAACGTTTCTGGTTGATATCCTCTCTTCAGCATCACATCCAGTATTTGAGCCGCTGCCTCTGGTGCCTTTTCCACAACAGCAGACTTCATCCAATCGCCGAATATATGGCCATGATATACAGGCGGGAGAACTGAGATGGCATCGAGAGCGATACTAGTCATCTTGGAGATGTCAGTGCCAAGATGATACAGCAAATGTAGTCTCCTTAAGACTGATTCGGCTCGACCAGTGGCTCCGCTGACAAGCAAATAGCCACCCTTGACCATGTCTCGGAACACTTGCTTTGCATCGGTCAGACTGCGTGCTTCTAGAAATCCCACAAGCCAAGCGTCGTAGTCCTCAATTGTGCAAGCATCGCCTTTCTGCTCTCTCATCCTGACATAGATTTGCTTTGCTAGATGATGATGTTCTGAAAGCTCCGAGCTCGTGTGAGCGCGAAATACAACCATCATAACAGAGGTGTCCCAATTAGGATATAAACGGAAGAGCTCATTCATGATCCACCGGCTACGGTCAACATTCCCGAAGAGAGCATGTAGCTTAGCTCCAATTTCCAAATGTTCCGGTATATGGCCATCTATTGCACTGTCAAGATCCGAAACATGGTCCTGCTCCCATGCGCTGATAGCGTAATCTTCTCTGCCATTCAGAAATGTTCTTTCGAGATATCTGGCCCTCTGCTCAACGGTCATAGTGTGTCCCACCCTCTCCATGTCGCAAAGAATCTGTTTCAAGTGTGCCTTTCGGTTTCGATTATTGGGCGAATCAATAGACTGTGTCGTCCATAGGAGATCCCAGGCTCTTTTCGAGAGACGTGTCAAAACTCGAGGATAGATTGCTTTTGATAGCATATATGCCCGCCACAAGGGTGCGCGAAGACTATCATCACAGCCATCTGTGGTACTGACCGATTGTAGTACAATGTGAAGCCTTTTGAGTGTATATAGGTTCCTGAAATGGCCACCTTCCAGAGAGATCAATGCATGTTGTACATTTGCAGGCTTCTTGGGCTCTGTGGCCCGAGTTATGTCGCTAAAGGCTGCCTCCGGGGCAGTCCTAGATCCATTCAATTCTGTAATTAGTCCCGTAGATTTTTGTAGTGTCGGATTCCATTGCGGAGTGTATGTCGGTATTTCGCGAGGGAGCGTTCGGAGATAGCGTGTCTGGAAGTATGGAGCGGGGTGGGATAGGCATCGTAGTCGACAGAGACCGAGCATCAGCCGGTGCGGTCGCGAGTGGGCGAAAAAGGAGAGCAATAACTCAATTTGGTCGCATTTCAAGGGATGACGGTTGTGCCTGTTCCCAAGTTCTCACTTTCGAAAAATGTCCAAATGGCGCTAGTGTTATCGATAGTGATGACGTAACGCATATTCACGTGATATTATGCACGAAAGTCTAGGCCTAGTCTCAATGCTGAATATCCATCACTTCACTACCAGGTCTCGTAGGTATGAAGTCCTCTGGGTTTTCTCTCTTTAGGTTCCATGATCAAAAGAGAAGTGTGCTTTCTATGTGGGATTCTGAATAACCAGATTTACTCTCAATGCTCGGAGAACAAACTGTGTGAAGGTAAATTGTATATTTACCTACATCTTGTTATAGCCATGCAACTTCATCTCATTGGTATCTGAAAAAGAAAAATAGGTCCCAATAACCACGTTGAGAAGAGTTCAGTCATTATGTGTAAAGATCTACGCTGCTTTTCATGACCATTTCGATATCGCCTGAGAGTTTGAGAGCGTCCTGAGAGGGCATGTAGTTGATTATGTGGAGTATGGCGAACAAGTTATTCCAGCTCGACTGAACGTACCCTAGACACAACCTAGGATCTTCAATCCCATGAATTGATGAGATGTGGAGATGTCTGTTTCGGTTTTAGTTGAACATTTGACCGTACGGGAATAGGAAATCAAGAATGCAAATAAGACAAAAAAAACCATCACATTATCGGGATTTCAACGCAGATAGAAACTCCGTCAGCTATGCATGCGCAGCTGATGATCGAGATCTTCAAGATACAACCTCTGTTTCTTATGTGGCCGGGGGACGCCATAATAGAGTTTGCATGATGTGTGGGAATATCTCGATTGGCTACAACTGGGCGATAGATGCAGATCAATGCTAGAGATCCTGAGGCCGAGGATGCGCCTCGATCACAAGATGTAATTTGAAACTGATATCAGGAGAAGAAAGAATCCAGGGAGTGAATACGGGGGTGGCAATGATTTCGCGTCGAGTAATGGAAGCATCTGTGATAGACATGTTTGTATCGCGGTGTCCATTCTCGCTAGCACAAGTAAGTACCTTCAAGAATGGTTTAGAAGCCGTACATCTGAACACTTTCCTTTTACCGTGATGCAGTCGCATGTGTATGCACTAAGAATGACGAACGCTATTATCAAAAAACGCACCAATGACAACCCAGCTTTATATATTCAGCGAAATACAGCCAATGAGGGAATGTGCGGTGTCGATACAAAGGCGCACTGTATGGTGATAGGACCTTTAAGGATGTGCTAACAAGCAATCCATTCCTTCCCGTAGCTCGCACCATGATGATCGCCGACCACTGGCACGTGTGTTGGTTAGTACAGATGCGCCGCGCCGATGATCAACCGTTTAGAACGATTTGCAGAGTGATCGTCCAACCAAGACCCGAATGTAGTCCGGCAAAGCCGCAAGAATATGTCACCGCTTCCAGGTTTACGTGCGGAACTTTCCATCACTACCAAAGCATAGCACTAAAAGCTGAGCTAGTTGTAGATAGCGTATCAACCCAAGGTAGAGACAGCTTCAGGATGTGGGTTGTGGGCGCAACTAGACAGACAAGCGCATGGGGTAGATGGAGTAGCGATGGAGTAGCTATGGAGTTTCCATAGACAGGAATCGTAATGTGGAGATTGCCTTGCGTTTTTATTCCAGTCCCTGATTTTCTAAGTTATACACATGTATCGTCGGTCTTAAGGAATGGCCGATATTTGTCGGAGGTGCCTTGTTCCGGTGAAGAGCTTCAGCTGTCGTGGCTGTGCACATACACTAACTTCTATCGACAAGATTGGGTGTGCGTATAGATATACGCTGTTTTACAGTCATGTGTATGCGTGGACTAAATGCATGCGAATAACCTGCATAGGTATCGTTATAATACGAGTGATGAACGCGGGGATGTGATGCTTGTGCTCATGAGTTGCGACATTGGGTCGCAAATTTCGGCCGACATTCAACCTTAAAAGACTGGAACAATTGCGTCACAGCCGCCACTGTGGTCAGACGCGACGCATGCGACCCATAGGAAAGGGGCATGCATCCTGGAAATCTTAATTCACCCTGTCGCGTGGCCTCGTTTCAATGTCGCGTCAGGTATAGCATGTAAGACTGCCCTATCAACCGGGGGTTGTCTTGCCTGTGCTATAGGACATATGGTTTCTACAATTTGATAGTTTGAAGCGACCGGTCTCTAGATTCATCGGATAAAAATTCGGGAAAATAGAGCCCCTAACACGTGGAGCATGTCATGTAATGGACGTGAGTGGTAGAGGATTTTCGGGTGTGGCGTCCTGGGCTCGGAGTGATGCCTCCTAGGTCTATGCACGTTTGCCATTGGCACCCAAACGGTAACTTAGCTAGAAGATGCCAATATGTGTGCAGCCTATCGTCACTGCGACGAAACCAACAGAGCTGAAAGAACAAACTAGAAAAGGTTATTGGAGGGGTGGCGTGTGTCATGTAAGAGGCGCCCGGCACTTTTCTTCCTCATGGAGACACTAGACTGACACTCAGCCTTCCTAGGAATAGACCGGTTGGCTCTGTAAATCCCCTTGTTTCACACACCATAGTGGTTTTGCATCTAGTTGACATTGACATATGCCAAATTGCGGGATGCTTATGCTTGTATCTGCAAGGAAGAGTGGAGCAGCGGGTGGCGTCGAGGATTTGGGGTGCGACCCTGGTGGACGTACGTATGTAAGGTGATCGACACCGTTGCGAACACGATGTGCAAAAAGAAAGTGCCGATTGCCATGTGGCACGAGAAGCTAAAGCGTACCAGAGCCCTTTTGCCGAGAGAACTATTCATGGTGGACATGCCCACGGGCGGGTGCGGATGACCTCAACCTGAACGCCTGCATTACCTAGTGGAGGTGCATGCCCAGTCGCTTCTTTCGCCACTTGGGCGCGGAACCAGGCACTATCTTCGGGGCACTCTCCGGCTTTGCTATGGGTTCACGATAGCCCACCATGTCTCAGCGCTCTCCAAGAATTTCAAGCATCGGAAGACGCCAAGTAAGGCTGGACTTTGAAGGATTTCGCTCGGCAAAGGTGCCCGGTGAGGCTCAGCGGCACAAGTCCGGGGTCTGTCTCCTTTCCGTATCTTAACCTTTCCTGCATGTTAGGCGAACCCCTTCACTCTTGTGAGTCCACTGTTCGCGAAAAGTATGATCTCCGTTGCCGACCGCGATTGCCCTGCAGGGCGTGCAGAGAGATCCACTTCAACATGTATGGGGCAACTCCGCTCATCCTAGTTTTAATTCCATCATTGGTTGTATTCCATGGCTGTGGGACCTAGTGCAGGTCCTGCCATGCGTGAAGCAGGGATGACCTCTACGGCAACGGAACTCTGATTGCGATGAAGAATGCCGCTTGGTGAGAGATACTAGAGTCGCTCAGAACCCGCCTCCCACTACGCTATAGTTACCGTCTTCCCTCCCATGGCGCCAACTTCCTATAGTCGTTCGTCTCTCTTCTAATTTTCTCGAAAGAGCTGGCCCCTGGAGAACAGTGGCTTGGACTGGTTCCTCGCATGATACTAAATATTCTCCGTTCCCCATGCAGCATCGGAATCAGGACTTGTTTTAGAACACATCTGCTTTCTTAGTTCGTTTGTTCAGTCTCGAGCCGCGTACGGACAAAAGAAAGAATGAAGTCTGTGCAACTCCTGCTCTCGTTGCTAGTATGGATGCAGCTGGCACTTGCCCAGGGTTTGGTTCCCGATGACTCGGCTTTGGTATCAGCAGTGGAACAGCTTCCCGACTGCGCGGTATGTCCCATCCTCGATGATCTCGGGGACATCTACTGATGCAACTATCTAGCAAGAGTGTCTAGTCACGGCTGTCTCCAAGTCATCATGTGCATTGAACAATGCAACTTGCATATGCCAAAATATGAAATTACAGCACCAAGTCGAGATTTGTGTACATAAAACATGTACGCTGAGGCAAGGGCTGAGTGAGTGTTACTTTATTGTGACTATGAACACCGCTAATTTGAAATCTAGTAACCAAAAATGCGACCATGACAGTATGTCACGCTCCGATGCGTTATAGAGGCGAGAGTGTCCGCGTATCCAACATTGTCATTGCCGTCTTGACTGCTGCCTTCGGTCTTACTAGGCTCTTCTATAGAGGATTCTTCTCTGGTGGCGAATTTGCGTATGACGACTGGTGCGTTGTCGCCGCTCTGGTTTCAGGGGCACCGTCTGTTGTCATCATTGACCGGGCTGTCGTGCCTAATGGACTCGGAAGAGATGTTTGGACGGTCGACCCTGACCAAATCACCGAGTTTGCCAAATATCTTTTTGGCTTGGAAGTGCTCTATTTCTTCCACATCGCTTTATTGAAGCTCATGCTCCTTTTCTTCTTTTTACGGATATTCCCGAAGCAAAGCATCAAGAAAATCATTTGGGCAACTATCATCT